CTCACCACACAACGGCTCTTTTAAGAGCCACTCACCGCTGCCTAAAGATCCTGCTCCTCCAAGTCACACACCACGTCACCGCTCACCTGGAGCTCACGTTCACCAAACACAACAAACACGACGTCACATCCGGACAAACTGCTGCTGCATGTTCTGATCACATGTCAAACACATGGAGCTTCTGATCACATGTTAAGCACACAGAGCTCTGACATGTCACCAGCTCACTTGATGTCAGCTCATCACATCTACTTCCTTCACTCACACGGCTCATGCTCACTCCACAAACACTACTTCTCTTGGACACACACACAATTTAAACATGTTGAAGACGTGATCAGAAGCTCCGTGTGCTTGACATGTGATCAGAAGCTCCATGACACACTGTCACAGTACAACTTTCATCCAGAGTACTACACTAAATACCAACATAGAGCCGTGGACTTACTTCAAGGTGCTGGTGCAAAGTATTCATGTGAATACATCTTGTATTAGTACTGAGTACTAGAGACTGAATCCTCTCATTCACCAAATCATTTCTTTTATCACATTTATTCAGATCTAAGCCTCAAAGTGAAAATGGTTTTCTGACTCCACTTTGTCCTCCAGTGAAAATAAAATACACAGTTCAGTGCTGAGAAGCAGCTTCTGAGACAGAGAGACGTCCTGTTGCTTTTACAAAGTCAGGATATTAAATATAAGTACACAGAAAGATAAGTACAAAATCAATCAGAGCTGCGGATAAGAAGAAGCAGGTGAAGGCCCTGATGACAGCTGAAGCCTCTTGAAACAGGTATCTTGACCTCTGTTTGAAAGCACTCGATTATAAAAACATTGAAGAGCATATGAACACGCATGAGACATTCTCCATCTTGTCCTATGTTCTAAACTGGGACCTGAGTGAGAAGAGTCACAAGTGATGGAGTCTTCTCTCAGGACGGACACAACATTACTCACAACCTCCATGAGAAGAGACGGACTCCAGTATCAATATTAGATTGTTGTACTGCGACAAAATAAAATCCAGTGTGAGAAAGAAGTACAACACACACAGACTTTATAAACTGTGATGTTACCTTCATTTAAAACTGTTGAAGGAGTAAAATTCACAGGACTTTTGAAGATCCCACAGAGGATAAAATGTTTTTATGTTCATTTCAATGTTTGTGCCAATTGTCACAAGATGAATCCCATCTCCGATAAGTAAAGGTTTCTGTGGCAGTCGACCACGCCACGGGGTTCCCCTCACGCCAGCCAGAGACAAACCAGTCTAACCATTGCGGGTTCAGAAACATCTTTTATTAACTCCCAACTGAAAATACAAAACCTGGAACTTAAAGGGTCCAGCACTATCTGCTGGACCTTCAGCTTTACCAGTCTCTTCCCCCAGTGGGTGTCTTTCTCCCAAGTGTCCTCAGAGCATTTTTCTCTCCCAGTGTCTCCTTGAGGCAGCTCTGCTGCCTCCTTTTAAAGTCTGAGGATCAATCAGCTAACAGCTCTCACCTGTGCTGATTGATCCTCAGTGGTGCAGGTGAAGGTGCTCTCTCCGCCCCTTCACCTGCACAGTTTCTGTTTGTACTTTGCTCAGACGTTTTGGGGAAACTTTTATATTCTCTGGCACATTGTCTGAAAGAAGGAAATTAAATCTGATCAGGTCTTTTATGAGTAAGACCCTCGTTGTTGCAGTGTATTGAACATGTACATTAAAGCTCCATACAACATCAGTTTGTCTACATCTTCACTGAACCTAACACTCAGTTATAAAATACTTATGTTGATGTTTTAACGTTGAACATTTAACTGCAAATATTTCTATTGAATTATCACACACATGTAAAAGTGTTTTCACCATATTGTTCGAGTGGTTGATCACTTCTATATTTTGTGTGTTTTAAATTCCTCTCTTCTATAAAGAGAGTTAGTTGATGTCATGAGTTGTGATTCTCTATGTGTGTGTGTGTTTTCCAGGTGAACATCTGTCACCTCTGGAAGCTGGAGTCTGTGTCTTCATATAACTGCAGTGATGTGCATCTGTCTGTGGATCTCAACTATGAGCAGGAGTGAGGTTGTAATGACTTTAAACATTAAATGGCTGTGACAAAGTGATGAGTCACTGTCAGGAAACAACTCGGGCTGTGTCTCCACCAACACGAGTGTGTTTGCAGGCACCAAAACAATCTGTGTTTCCTGAACGAATCCCCGCAACAGTTGAATGTTTTCACATCGAGTCTCTGGACCAACTTCTCCTCTCGACCTCCGACTGGTTTTTATGTGAATCTGAAGTTTTTAAAAACGTTTCTGAGAGAAAACACCGAGCAAAGTCCCGGAGCAGCGCGTCACACGGCGGCTGGCAGAGCCGCTTTCAACGCTTCCTGAAGAAAACACAGAAAAGTCTCGATGTTTCAGTTGTTTCCAGTCGAAGAGAAACTCCTTCGCTCTCCCTTCGACTCTTGTTCACACGTTGTTGTTTCCAGCAAAAGAGAATTTGAGACGTTTGTTGTCGAAGAGAAAACACAAGTGTTCCCGCAGCAGCAGCTTGAGTCTCCACGGTTCTCATGGTGCGTTTAAGTACCCGTGTCTGCGCCGGGCTCCGCATCAGAGTCGAGCTTCACGTCACGATGGCAGAAGAAGTCGCTCCAGCTGCAGCTCCAGCGCCCAAGGCCCCGAAGAAGAAGAGCCGCAAGGCCGCTCCGAGCGGACCCAGTGCCGGGGAGCTGATCCTGAAGGCGGTGAAGGCCTCCAGCCAGCGGAAGGGTCTCTCTTACATCGCCCTGAAGAGGGAGCTGGCGGCGGCGGGCTACGACGTGGAGCACAGGGGCGTCCACATCAAACGCGCCGTCAAGAAGCTGCAGGTGGACGGGTTCCTGGTTCAGCTCACAGGCGCCGGAGCCTCCGGGTCCTTCAGGGCGAGCAAACCCGTCCACAAGCCCAGGAAGGTGGCGCCGAAGCCCGCGAAGAAGAAGCCCGCGTCCAGAGCCAAGAAGCCCGCGAGCCCGGTCAAGAAGGGGGGCGTGGCCAGCAGGACCAAGTCTCCCAGCGCCCCAGCGAAGAAGAAGAAGGAGGAGGAGGGGCCTAAAGCTCCGGCTGCAAGGAAGGTGACGAAGAAGGTGACGAAGAAGAAGGTGGCCCCGCCCAGGAAGAGCCCGAAGAAGCCGCTGGCAGTCAAGGCCAAACCCACCAGCAGCAGGAGGACAGCCCAGAGGAAGTAGAAGAAGAAGAGGAGGAGGAGGAAGAGGAGGAGGAGGAAGAGGAGGAGGAGCAGAAAACAAACGGCTCTTCTCAGAGCCACCACCTGTTTGTTCTAGAGCTGAAGTCCAGTCACGTGTCTGATCACGAGCTTCTACTAACTTTGTGTCACACTGTACTTCTGATAGTACTACTACAACTTTATTTACTAACTTTACTGACTGTACTACTTTATTTACTAACTTTACTGACTGTACTCTAACTTTATTTACTAACTTTACTGACTGTACTCTGACTGTACTACTTTATTTACTAACTTTACTGACTCTACTCTAACTTTATTTACTAACTTTACTGACTGTACTCTAACTTTATTTACTAACTTTACTGACTGTACTCTAACTTTATTTACTAACTTTACTGACTGTTCTACTTCATCTGCTTACATCAACTCACTTATTTTGATCAGTGACGTCTAAAGTCAGAAGTTCACAGTCAGAAACAGATTCAAAGACTTAAAATCAAACTGAATTCACTAAAACTTGTTACGATGAAACAAAGATTCACAAACAGCAGCTCATCTTTGTAAACACCTGTTGTTTCTCTCTTCATGTGATAATGTAAATATTGTACATTTATTTTTGTTACTGTTTCGATAAAAGTGTTCAAACAGGAAGTGTTTGAGTTTTGCTTTGATCTGATTCAGATGCACTTCACTGGCGCCATCAAGTGGCCAAACACTGAATTACTCTCGCCTCAGTCAAAGACACAGAGTTTGTTTCAGTTTATTTCGTAACTCTTCTGCATATATTATCAACATTTTAACAAACAGGATTCTTTTTTGTTAAAAACACAATGTAACATTGACGGGATGAGGTTTAACTTGTGATACACTTAAACCACCTATACACAGAGAACGTCAGAAAAAAATTTGGCTTATTCAGACCAGTTTGGCAGCGTTGTTTTGGGGAACGGTGTCAGTAAAGGTACTTGATGGACGGAGGCAGCTCGACAGACGGTTCACACTCACAGGCAGCAAAGTCTACTGACTCCACACAGAAGGGACACTACCTCCACTACTGTTGGCAGAACATCATCATAGGGCGGAATTCAGTCAAAACCATGCAATAAAAAATTATAACTACCGTTAAAAAAAGAAAACAAACACTTTTCCTGCACTTGCTTTTCAAGCAACGTGTCAAAATGCTGTAAAAGGAGGATTTAGTTGAAACTAACTTGTGGAGCAGTTTGTGCCTTTGAGGGGTTTTTGGTTGTTATGATCCAGTCGCAGAAAAAAAAGAAGTGCAGCTCTCGTCAAACTTCATGAGAGGTTTTCTGAATTCCTTGAGATATGTTGTGTCATGAAATGTTTCATATGGTTTAGTTGAGTGTAAAGTTTTTACAAACCGACGACACAAAGGAGGAAACTGATATTTTTCTGTTTTGTCAGGATCATTTTCTCAAACGTCTGTCCACATATTATCGTTAATCCCGACCTGAGACTGAGGATTTACACTTTCTTCATCCTGCCAACTCTGTGGAGTTTGAACAATGTGGAGGAAAGTCTCGAACACTTTCCTGTGACTGAGTTGAACAAGTGTTTCTGTTTATTACGTCTTCAAACTGATGCATCGACCCACGTTCTTCTGATTCCGTATCGACTGGAGAACAAATGATCTTCCACTGGTCAGTCACTCAAAACATCCTCACGTCCTTGAAGAACCAAACAACAATAGAACATATTTTTTTTCATGCAGATCATTTTTACCTCACAATCACAAGGAATTTAAAGGTTCATTTGTCTCTTAATAATAAATAATCAATTTAATTATATGTTCCACTATCACAGATTGAGGTTTGCAGCCCTCATACTTTTGGCAACATCCTTTAAAGTAGTTGTTTGCTTGAATAAATAAAGATTCACTTTGAAAAACTGGTGAAAAATAAAACCACTGAGCTGAAACACGACAGAAAAGTCTTGTTGTTGTGAAAGCGACAAATCCCTGAAAGGCACAAACTGAGGCAAGTGAATCACTGATGCATGAAACTGAAATCAATACGCCTGAAGAATAATGACGTGTGTGTGTGTGTGTGTGTGTGTGTGTGTGTGTGTGTGTGTGTGTGTGTGTGTGTGTGTGTGTGTGTGAGGTATATGGAGGATGCTGATAGGACGTCAGGGATAAGGCTGGATATCTCCCATCTACACATTACATGGATAGCAGCTTCAAGGATTCACAGAACACGATTCACGACGGCAGAAAACAGGGTTGAAACAATAAAACTGGAGTTACTGTAAATTCTCAAATAGTCGCATGATTGTATCTGATAATTTTTATTTATATTCCTAAATGTAAATTACGTGTAATCAGCTCCTCAGCCAGTTCAGGCTAATTGATCGAAATCATACATTTGACTTCTGCTAGTCTGATGGAAAACATAGGACCTACGATACCAGACCAGTTAACTGAGGCCACAGCATCGTTAACTGGGATTAATTAGTAAATCTGACACACCAGTGAACGTCCCTGCACAGAACTGATGCGCTGACACACGCTGACAGGTTCCAGAACAGATCCAGGTGAAGCTCCTTCAGATATCAAGGCACAAATCTAAGGAACATTTAGTTTTTCAGTCGAACGTCCTCAAAAACATCTGGATGAAAAAACAGATCTGATTTCTGCAAAATAAAGATTTTAAACTCGTATTTCTATGTCTCCAGAAATTACACATGTCCCCCAGAAGCATTCAATAAATATATTATTGTGTATAAAAATATAGAATCAAATAAATTAACTTTAACTGTTTGGTCCATGTCACATGAATTGAGCGTTACATGTGTGGATGCTAGCTGCCATGTCCGTTTGGATTGGAAACAGTCACAGCTCGTACAACGAATGAAAAATATAAATAAGTATAAATATTTCTAAAACTGAAACATATTTTTTCATCCAAATGGTTTGAAGAGTCTCTGGAAGTACCTGTAGTATTTTTTACTGATCGTTTGTCAAAGATTGTATTGAAAATATCTTTTGTCAGATAAAACCTGAGGGTTAGTTCTGGGACTTGTTAAAGTATTTTCATGAAGCTGCATGAGAGGTTATAGGACTAACTCTAACTCTATATATCAATCTATATATAATATTACAATTAGCAGAGCAGGGTGTGAACCCGCCAAATGAAATAACCTGAACCATCCTGTTTGTTCCTGTTGCATCTGTTGACTTTTTTTTTTTACATCTTTAACTTTTAAAAACAAATCAAATGTGTGGATTTCAGTCACAAACCAATTAACTGCTGGCTTTTTAAAAATCTGTTAACTCTGTGAGTTGTGTCTTCAATGACACCTGATCGTGGTTTGTCTTTTATTTGAGAATTTACAGTATTTCACCTCCCACTCTCTCATCCTCTCCGACGTGCACACACACACATATATGTCACTTATAGTTGCTCGACTGATATGTAGGAGGAAGTACAAAATAACAGCAAGAAGAACAGGCCACACAAAGGTAGAGAATACTAAATATTTCAGATTCAAGCCCCTGAACGTAACAGTAGAAACCAGAACACCGCTCAAACAGTCCCACGGCTGAGACGAGCTGACACAGCGAGCCTGTGTTGGCCCCGCAGACCCTGAATGCATCTGGCTGTTCGGGCCCCTGGTGTGTTTAAATGTCTGGTGCATCCGTTTCTGAGATAGGCTATGGCTTTGGCTCTGGTCCGAGCAGGAGGGAATGTAGTTGAGGAAAACTTAACTTGAACAAATCGTCTTTTAGCAACAACCAAACGTCTTCGCTCCCTTCAACATATTTTTTTTTCTCTCCTCATCTGTCTTATCGTTTTAGAAAAATAGAAATCAGGAAAACATCGTTACAAAAATAAACCAAAAAGTTTGTCCGAAGTCTACATCCACATGACAACTTCACATAAATATCGACTGATATTGCACAGCAAGGGATTTCTTCTGATATGAAGTAAATCACTGACACTATTAGTAAAAAAAAGAAGAACATTTTAGGACATTAAAATAATCAGAAGTTTCATGTCCTGGTTCGGTTTCTTTTTCTTTTCTCCAGAGAGACAAAGCAGCACAATCCCAGGCCCTCCCACATCAGGCAGACTGATCCTCCGTCCTGCTCAGATGAAAAACTAACAAAAGATGCAAAAAAAAAAAAAGCTTCAGAAGTTTCACTGGTGAATTTTGGTTGAAGGCACAAAGTTCCAAAAATGTGTGTGAGTGTTTTAGTTTCCAGGGAGACGGGATCCTGTGGTGAACTCTCCTGATGGTCGGAGGGCAGGGCTTCGACTCTCTGTGGAGACACAAACACAACATCTCAGCTCAGAGACCAGACCGATGGACAGACGGACAGATGGACAGTTCATCTACAGATCTATAGAAACGATGTTTGATTTAATAATCAAGGAATAAATCATCGTTTATAACCATAAATCATCTTTACGGGTTCTGAATAATCACAGCATGTGTGTGTGTAGCTGAAAGTAAACCTGGGACAATCGGCTGTTTCAGGTTGTATCAAAATGTTGGGATCCCAGAGACAGTCTGGTGGACAGTGTCCTCCCACCCCCCACCTTTTTCAACATCTTCCTCGAAGTTAATCCTCCTGCAGCGGCAGATGGTGCCTGGAGCGTCCATGGCTGTGCCCTCAACAGCTCCTGTAGTTATGAATGATTGCATGGTCTTAGGCATTAAGTTGGATCAGTGTAATCCACTGCAGCATATGCAGCAGCAGCTCGCTGGGCCAAATCCAGCAGGAAGGAGAACTTTCCCTCCTTCACTTCCTCACCCAACGCTCTCCAAGGAGGAGTCAACGTGGCCTCCGACGCCACACACACGAGGTGACGTCCCGAGAGAGAAAGCACGTGAATCCTTCGCCACGAACGATTCTTTATTTATTCTGCAGATTTAATTTAAACCGAGATATTGAACTGAGTGTGTTTTGCTCACGTGTCGTCAGCAGCAGGTTTTTAAATCAGCCTGGACTCGGGAGGATTTAAAGATTTCAACCTAACCGACGTTAAGAGGAGGAGAAACGATTGGATGGGAGTTACCTGCACAGGTGAACTCATCACAAGCTGTTTTCATGTATCTGAGCTTTGAGGGGCCGGAGGATACAAAAGAGATTAAGCTCTCACAGCTTTTAAGCCTTTTAGTCAATGACACAAAGAAATGGTCATTTGAATGAACCGTGTGAACTGATCGTCCCACTGGTGACCACGCTAGGCTAACGAGGGTGCTAGCTCATTATCTCAGACGGC